CTTCAGACTGGGCCAGAGCATCACCCCAGCCACCTCCAAGGATGACACACCCAAAGGGCAGACTGAGCAGGCACAAGAGCCCATCCTAAGCAAACCCTGCGCTGTAGGGTCAGCTCCTGCCCATCTGCTTTTCCACTATAGTCACAGTCAGTCCTCACAACCAATGAGCCTGAAGGGTATTGTGCTGAGCGAAGAATGTCAGACAGAAAAAGAGAGATGCAATATGATTTTGCTTCTATGTGGAATGTAAAGAACAAAAGAAACAAACAAATGAAACAGAAACAAACTCATAGATTCAGAAAACATGTTGATGGTTGCCAGATGGGAGGGGGGTTGGGAATGGGTGAAAAAAGAGGAAATGATTAAGAAGTACAAATTGGTTGTTATATTGGTAGTCATGGGGATGTAGGGTATAGCATAAGAAATATAGTCAATAATATTGTAATAACTATGGTGTCAGATGGGCACTAGATTTATTGGTGTGAAAGATGGGAGGAGGTTTGGGGGACAGGGTGGAAAAGGTGAAGGGATTCAGAAGTACAAATTGGTAGTTAAATAATAGTCATGGGGATGTAAAGTACAGCATAGGGAATATAGTCAATAATATGGTAATAACTATGGATAGTGGGTACTAGACTAGTCAGGGGATCACTTCTTAAATTATATAAATGTCTAACCACTATGCTGTACAACTGAAATTAATATCAAATAATAAATATTGAATGTCAACTAGAATTGAAAAATTAAAAATGGGGGGAGGTGAAAGGAAATAAGTTCAAATTTCCAGGTATAAAAGAAATAAGTCATGGGGATCATGGGGATGTAATGTACAGCATAGGGAATATAATCAATAATATTGTGACAGCGTGATACAGTGTCAGATGGTTGCTGGACTTATCATGGTGATCACTTCTTTAGGTATATAAATGTTGAATAACTATGTTGTACACCTGAAACTAATGTTGTATGTTAGATATATTTTAATAAAAATATTTTTGAAAAAACAACTTAATGGAACCCAACACATTTCAGGAAAGAGGATAAAACACAAAAATAAAACTGTATACATAGACATATACATAAGAGAAGATACTACAACCATGAAATAAGAAACAGAATCTGGGCCTGGGAGATAGAGAAGAGGAAGAATGAAAAGTCAAAGAACAAGAAAAAACATCATGGAAATTTTAAAATACCAAAGCAGAAAAAAGTCAATAGGAAGTTTGGGATATAATGAAAAATTTTCCCCGAAAGTATAATAGAACAGAAAGACAAAAAACATGGGTAATTGAAAGAAAAGAGAACAAGCTAAGAGGTTCACTATATCACTAGTAGGAATACCAAAAAAAAAAAAAAAGAAANAGAGAGAGAGAGAGAGAGAGAGAGAGAGAGAGAGAGAGAGAGAGGAGAGAGAGAGAGAGGGAGGGAGAGAGAACAGGACAAGGAATGTGTGTGAGAGAAGAATTATATTTTTAGGTATACAAATTTTTAATAAACTATTTTAGAGCAGTTTTATGTTATAATAATATTGAGCAGAAATACAGAGTTCCCATACCCCCCTAACCCTCAAGCATGCACAGACTCCCCCACTATCTACATCCTTCAATTGTACCAACAGTGGTACAATTGTTACAATCAATAAACCTATTTTGACACATCACTAACACCCAAAGGCCATAGTTTACATTAGGGTTCACTCTTGATGTTGTACATTCAATGGATTATGACAAAGGTGTAAAAACAACATGTACCCCCCATTACAGTATCATACAGAATGAATGGTGTCACTGCCTTTAAAAAATCCTCTATAGTCTGTCTTTCATCCTTCTAACCTCTTTAGCTTCTGGCAACCACTGATCCTTTTATTGTCTCCATAGTTTGGCTATGGCTTTTTTCACTCAGTGATTTGCTAATATTTTGTTGAAAATTTTTCCATCTTTGTTCGTGAGTGATATTGGTCTGTAGTTTTCTTGTGATGTCTTGGTCTGGTTTTGTTATTAGGGTAATGCTGGCCTCATAGAATAAGTTAGGAAGTATTCCCTCTGCTTCTATCTTCTGGAAGAGATTGTGGAGAATTTGTATAATTTCTTCCTTAAATGTTTGGTAGAATTCATGAGTGAACACATCTAGGCCTGGTGCCGTCCATTTTGGAAAGCTGTTATTGATTCAATTTCTTTAGTACATATAGACTTATTCAAATAGTCTGTTTCTTCTTGTATGAGTTTAGGTAGATGGAGTCTTTCAATGAATTGGTCCATTTCATCTAGGTGATCAAATTTGTGGGCATAGAGTTATTCACAATATTCCTTTGTTATTCTTTTAACGTCCATTGGATCTGTAGCAGTGTCCCTTCTTTCATTTCTGATATTAGTAATTTGTGTCTTTTTTTTTTTTAGTTAGCCTTCTAGAGGCTTATCAATTGTTTTCATCTTTTCAAAGAATCAGCTTTTCATTTCATTGACTTCCTTTTGATTTCCTATTTTCAATTTCATTGATTTCTGCTCTTATTTTTATTATTTCTTTTCTTCCGCTTACTTTGGATTTAATTTGCTCTTCTTTTTCTAGCTTCTATGGTGGAAACTTAGATTAATGATTTAAAATTTTTCTTATCTTCTAATCTATGTATTCAATACTATAAATTTCCCTCTATGCACTGCTTTTACTGCAACCCACAAATTTTGATAAGTTGTAAGTCATTTTCATTTAGTTCAAAATATTTTTTCAATCTCTCTTGAAATTTCTCCTTTGATTTACATGTCATTTAGAAGTGCATTGTTTAATCTCCAAGTATTTTGAGATTTTCCAGACATCTTTCTGTTGCTAATTTCTAGTTAATTCCATTGTGGCCTGAGAGCAGACATTGTATGATTTCTATTCTTTTAAATTTGGTAAGATATGCATTATGGCCCCGAATGTCATCTATCTTGGTGAATGTACCATGTGAACTTGAAAAGAATGTGTATTTTGCTGTTGTTAGATGAAATAGTCTATAAATGTCAATTATAGCCAGTTGATTAATGGTGTTCTTAAGTTCAACTATGTCCTTACGGATTTTCCGCCTGTTGGGTCTGTCCATTTCTGATATAGGGGTGTTGAAGTCTCCAACTATGTAGTGGATTCATCTATTTCTCTTAGCAATTCTATCAATTTTTGCCCAGGAATTTTGACACTTGTTAGGTGCATGTACAGTAAGGATTATTACGTCATCTTGGAGACTCAATCCCTTTATCTTTATGTAATCTCATTCTTTATCCTTGGCAACTTTTCATGCTCTGTCTGAAAGAGAATAGATAACATAGACAATTAACAAATTAAGAAGTGGTAGTATAAGCCTGTTATTTAGGGGAGGGGAGAAGGTAAATAACAAAATAAATACTTAAGACTTAGAAATTGCTCCTTCTGGAAAGCCAAACTGGGAATTAGGAGGATTGAGTCAAGGGGCTGTTCTTTCTGTGATAAGCTTTTAGCACCATTTGACTTTTTCAAAAACCATACACATGTATTAATTTCATTAAAAAACAAAGGTAATATTTTAAAAACACATTCTATAGAATGGATACACCATGAGTTAATTAAATATTAATCTATTTTTGAATGTTTGAGTTGTTTCCAATTTCTTCATTATCATAAATAATGCTGAGATGGAGACCTGCCTCCACGTCTCTGAGAATCCATTTGGTAGGAATGGTGTCCTAAGTCCCTATTAGCACAATGAACAACATACCAGGTCTGTCCAGCAATCATGCAAAACCCTTCTCCAGAGAACTAAGTCAAAGTCTGCATTTTCTATACCCTTACTGTGGGATCTAGAAATGGTTTCTGTCAAAAATATGGAACTATGACTATCAGATGGGAAGAGGGTCGGGGCGGAGCTGCATGAAAAAGGTGAAGGGATTAAGGAGTGCAAATTGGTAGTCACAAAATAGTCACAGGGACATAAAGTTCAGTATAGGGAATATAGTCAATAATATTGTAATAACTGTGATGGTGCCAGGTGGGTACTAGACTTATCAAAGGGATAACTTCATAAATTATATAAATGTCTAACCTCTACACTGCACACATAAAACCAATATAAAATATTGAATGTCAACTATAACTGAAAAATAAAAAAGAACCCCTCCAAAGTATGAAAATATTCCCATTTTTTACTAATTTTTTTAATCACATAGAACCTTCAGAAATCCTTAACCCTTGCATTTTTCTTAATTTTTTTCTAAACTCCATCAGATATCAACTGCTTATTTTTAAAACATCCTAAAAGTCTAAAACTAAAATCTAGACATCTATACTTTCAGCAATATTTAATTTTAATATTTCAGGCAAGAGGGCTTTTTCTAAAATGATGACAGTGGAAACCAAGATTTTTTTTCACAGATCCAATAGTAAATTATAACTTAGAGCCCAAATTTTATTCTTCAAAATGTGTAGATATAATTTGTGGGTCAAATATGGGCCCTAGTACCAAAGATCAGATTGTACTTCTATTGACTCAAGCCCCAGACATCAAGAAGATTCATTCTCCTGATCAGCCCCAAACTCTCTCGCTTTTAAGCCTGCTGCTATGAGAGTGAGGCAAAGGGAGAGAGTTTTAATACTAATACAGGGTTAAGTGCTTACTATGCCAAGCTAAGCACACCAAATGCATTAGCTCAATCCTCAAGCAACCCTTTTAGATAAAATCTATTATTATCTCTACTTTACAGAGAAGGAAAGTGAGCTTTAAAGAGGCTATATGTGTTGTCCCAGGTCATATGCCTTGCGGTGGCAGAGCAGAGATCTGAACCCATGGCTGACTCCAGCAGAGCCCAGCTGTGTTCATCCACTGCCTTACTCAGCAGCGATTCTGGATCCACAGAAATGCAGGATAACAGGCAGCCTGGATCAAGGATAGCAAAGAGTGGACTCCCTTTACTTTCAGTGTTAAATATGACTTCACTGACATGCAGATATATTATCTGAAATTAACATGACAATTGTCCTACATCTCAACCCAAAAGGGCTACAGTGTCCATTACTATTCTTGGAGAAAAGCTGTATTCATCTATTGCATTCTGTACCAGTGCCACCTGTTGAGTCATCTGCCTGTTTCCTGATCAACTCCGTTTGCTTTGAAGCCCAGGTCTTTCAACACCCCGGGAACTGTAAGTACTTTGTCATCTAGCCCATTATCAAAACCGAACTTCTGCTATTACCAATTCAGATGGTTCCTCCACTCAAGGCTTCCAGTCTCCAGGTGAAAGGGCTAACACTCCTTTTAGAGTTCCCCCAGTGCCCCAAGCTGCAGAGGGCCCCTGATTTTGGCCTCATCCCAGGTTTAAGTGCTTCTAAATTTACTAATCCAAAATAGAGGAAGGATGGTAAATAGGTCTCCTTTCTTTACCAAAGCCAATTAGTGGACTTGACTGGAGTGCCATGGTGGAAGAATTCTGAGCTCCGTGGAGGATCCCTGGAAAAGAAGGTGATGTTTGGCTAGTGGTGTCCCTGCAGGGGACAGGAGAGATGAAGCACATGTAACAGGAACCTGCAATCCCTCAAGGGATTGCTCAAGCACTCTAGTTATTACCTCATGAACGCTTGTGGTTCATAAGCAACACGTTAGCAAAGAGAAATAAAAGAAGCCTGGGTGCTATATGTCACCAACTTCTTTTAAACTTTCACTTTTATTCCCAAGGTAATTAATTTAAAAGTGAATCAAAAACCTTCTTCTGGGATGACAGAAAAGGCTTTTCCACAGATGAAGGTCATTGCCACACTCAGGGACGATACAGGACCGATGCACTTGACCGCAGGATGACAGCAGCCCCGAGTCAGCTGCAGAGCACATTACAAGTGAAGGAGGGTAATCAGCCGGTGTGTGAGGATGTGATTAAGACACTAAGCAGAGTGAGCTCCAGAGTCCAGCGTCCTGCCACAGGCACCATCAGGTCCACCGAGCTCTGCAGAAGGAACAGCACTGATGCGAAAGGCTGCCAGACCGGGATCCTCACCCAGGCTCTTTCACTTACTAAACTACTGGTTACACAGTCACAGATGAGAAGACCCTACATTGTGAAGGCGTGCATTCTCCCCAAATTAATGTATACATTCCAAATAAAAATCCCAGCATGTTTTTCACAAACTGACTCTAAAATCTATATGGACCAGCAAAAGACCTATAACAGACAGAAAGTTTTGAAGTCAAGACATAGAGTTGGGGCCAAAGGAGCAGGGAGCTTCCCTAGCCAGATCTGAAGACTTTATATCAGAATTTTTAACTTCCCTAGTCAGATATGAAGATTTTTTTTATTAGTTTCAGGTATACAAAACAATGTAATAGTAAGACATTTACACCCCTCACAAAGTGATAATCCCCCTCCCCCAAATCTACTACCCCTCTGACATCGTATATAGCTATTACAGTTCCACTGACTCGATTCCCTGTGCTGTACTCCACATCCTTTGACTATATATATATA